AGCCAATCCTCCAAGAGCTTACAGAGCTCTTCTTACAGGAGCTACTGTAAGCTCTTGGAGGATTGGCTACATTAGGGGTGTGTCGCTTAATATGCAAATGAGTACCTGCTACAAAAAGAGCCCTGATTATTATTAGGCCACACCCCCATGTCACCAGAAGTGTTGTCATCCAGCCACACCCACCTTTTGCTTCTTATTCTGTTTACCTTGTTTGTCAAAACCCAGGGCTTTTTTTGTAGCAGGAACTCCTTTGCATGTTAGGCCACACCCCCCTAATGTAGCCAATCCTAATGAGTTTCTGCTGTTGGGTGTGGCCTATTATGCCAATGGGTTTCTGCTGGGCGTGGCCAACTCGGGAACCAGCCGGAACTCCGTTCCTGTGCGTTCCTGCCCAAAAATAGCCCTGGGGGAAAATATGGTTTAAATAATACAAACAGAAAGTAGCCTGCTTGGGCCGATGTCCAGGTCACTCAAGGGCATGAGCCACGTAGGGTTGCCAGCCCTGGGCTTGAGAAAGACCTGGGGATTTGGGGGGTGGGGGAGTGGAGGAGTCTGGGGAGGGCGGAAATAGGGGAGGAAAAGCAACCAAAGCAACCATTTTCTCCAGGGGAACTGCCCTCTGTTGTCTGGAGACGGGTTGTAATTCTGGGCAACCCAAGAGCTGCTGGCTAAGAGCTGAGGACCACAAGAGGCTTTCATCTCTTGCCTTAGCCCTTGGCCAGCCCCAAGTTTATAGCCGGTGGCCGGGAGAGCAGGGGGGAAAAGCTCCGTTCAGTTGGTTGGTGCCGCTGGCAGTCCCAAATCACTCCTCCCCGTTCTGCCTTCCCATTCCCCTGCATGTGTGAACCCGCCTCACCCCTTGCAAGTCACTCCAGGGTTTGAAAACATCTTATTGAAAAGGGCTAATGCGCACAACTACCTCCGAGAAAGAACCGTTCATCGCCAGGTCCGTTCCTGCTTTCCGTTGTGTCTTTCTTATCTTTCCCACACAACCATTTTTTTGGATAAACTTGGTCCCAAATGCTTATGAAAGTGAAGCCATGTCGGAACGTGACGTGCGTGCTTTTTTGGGGGGTGGGGAACAGGAAGCCGTCGATTGTTCGGGGTGATTTTGGAAGCCAGCGTCTGCATCCTGATCGATACCTCCGGATCCATGGAACCGTCTCTGGAGCAAGTCACCCAAGAGCTGACCTCCCTTATCTGGGAACAGCTGAGGAAGAATCAGACCAAGTAAGGATCCTGGGGTGGTATTCAAAAAAATCAATTTGTTTTAAAGTTTGCTTCTTGCAAATGTGAGAAGAATCCCCTTTTGGGTGACGGGGTGCAAAAGGCAGCTGTGAAAAAGGGGGACAGTGGCCCCGGTCACACGGAGGATTTGCCATGCTAAAGGCACGAATGTCAGGCAGATTTTCGGGGCGCAATCACACCGCAACATCTGGGAAGCATAGCATACCCGTGGCCAACCCGTGGTGTCCCGCCGAAGATGCGCAATAAAAAAGTACAGCGGAAAGTGCACTAATATCCGGAAAACGCAGGGCAGGGGTGGGCGTCTGATCACGGGAGCGCTAGTATATCGTGGCATCCGGCGCCCGTCCACGTCCCAACGCAAACCAGATGTTTTTCGTAAGCGCATGCGCACAAACACGTAACTGAAAGCAGTGCTGCTCCACGGAACTGCGCATGCGCAAAAACGTGAACTGCTTGCCGCGCGGCTTCTTTGCCACACTCCAGCATTGCTGTGTGATCGCCAGCTAACAGCCTAAGCGCAAAGACTCAGGGGACCATGTGATCGGGCTACTACGCTTTATTTTGCTCCGGGGTGAACAGCCACGCCTCCCCCCCATGTTATCTGGCCCATGTGAGTGGGGCCAGTGAATAGCAGAAATCTGAAAGGGAGGGAGGGAGGGAGGGAGGGGGGAGAGAGAGATATAGAGATGAATGCTGCCTTCTAGGGTTGCCAACCTCCAGGTGGTGGCTGGAGACTGCCTGGGATTACAAATTATCTCCAAGCTACAGAGATAATTTCACCTGCTTTGGAAGGTGGACACTGTGGCAATATACCCGATTGAAGTCCCTCCCCAAACCCCACCCACCCACCTCTGGCTCCACCCCCCAAATCTCCAGGTATTTTCCACCTCAGGGCTGACAGCCCTGCTGCCTGTACACTGTTCTGTGTTTATGTGTGAATGTGACTGACTGTGCTAAGACCAGCAAGGCAGGTATCCCGAGCAGACGAATCACACCTTTGTCTCTAGAGCTCGAGCCACTTCTGTGTAACCGGCATTTGTCAAGAGCAAAGCAAGAGTTCATATGCGCACACACACCCACCCTTGGGCCAATCGGCCTGACTCCCGTGTGCGGGAAAGGAGCCCCGGGCAGTTAGAGCCGAAGCTGGGAATCGAAACTAGTCACACGCAGGGCCGGCTCACTCACTAGGCGAACTAGGCAATCGCCTAGAGCGGGCTGGCCCTTAGAGGCGCCAAGCTGCACCCGGCCCTGTACTCTGGGAGTTTCTTGATTATTTGTGTTTTTCATTCTTCCTAAAATGCATTTATTTTTGAAAATTGGTGGGCACATGGGGGGGGGGTGCCAGAAGGAATCCTCGCCGATCTAGCTTTTGTGAGTGACTGCTCGTTTCTTCAGATACTCACAAAACCTCGTCCCCTGCCACAAATGTCGTTGCTAAGGTGCCACAGGACTCTTGCTCTTTTCTACTGCCACAAACAGACTAACACAGCTACTCGTCTTGATCTATCACAGCATTTGCCAAGATACTGGCGAAGGGAGCTTTGGCTCTCGAAGGCTTATACCCTGGAACTCGTGTAGGTCCAAATCTTGCAGACCAACACAGCTACCCACCTGAAACCAGCGTCCTCAGAGATGGGAACAAGCAATTTCTTCTCCCAGTGTGTTTTGCATCAGATGCCGAAAACTGGGCTGTAGGTCGGATGCTTCCAGCATTAAAGGTAACGAAGGGAGCTTTGACTCTCAAAGGCTTATACCCTGGAAATCGTGTAGGTCCAAATCTTGCAGACCAACTCCTTTGTCTCTAGAGCTCGAGCCACTTCTGTGTAACCAGCATTTGTCAAGAGTTCGGTGACAATGCTTGTACACAAAAGGTCAGTTCCATTGACTGTATGGTCAGAAGGGAGTACAGTGAAATGACCTGCTGAGAAGCCACAAATGGATTGATGAACATTCAAACTAATGACTGCAAATGACTAATAACCAGCAAACAGGATGTAAGCCAAACTGACCCGTATTTGACCAGTGTGCCTAACTGGATTTCACAATAACCTCCAGCTGTTATACTAAAACTTGTTTCAATAAAGCCAAAGTTTGCTTGAAACACTTCTCTACATTTTCCTAGGCCTATGAAAATGCTACATTTCCTGGGTGATTCTTTCCACCCTGTTCATTAGAACCTACCATTTTCAAGAGTTGAGAAAGCCTCCAAGAGTAATACTATTTAGCATTACATCTATATTCAAAGTATTTCACACACACTTGGGCTGGATCCATCCAGGTTTTTCCCCCCCACTTAGTGTCACCTAATTTGCCTTCTTACTATATCCCATGTCCCACAAGCATGTTGTCGATGGAAGTCCCATGATCCACAGCATAGCCTTTTCAGTGGTCAAAGGAGACCCTATCCTTCCCTTGTCACCAGTGGAAAGGATGATTGGATCCAACCCTTACAATATCCCTGGAAGGAAAAACAGTATTATCATCTCCATATTGTATGATATGGGACTGAAAGAGGGTGCTAAGACACACCCTGAATTTGTGACAGAGCTAGGATTGAAACTGCAGTTCTCCCAGATGACAGCTTGTTCTTAGACACAATGCTCTACCAGCATCTGGTGTCCTGTGACTGACCCTAAAGAACATTTTTTCCCCATTTCCAGTTTCCACCACTATTTTTCCTGCCATATTCATATTCAGCTTTTTAAAAGAAAGTGTGCATTTATGGCTATCATGGCCTCAAATGTTCTTTGTGAAATATCAACTGACTCTTAGCAATTTTTAAATCATGTTATTAAAGGTAAAGGTAAAGTTTCCCTTGCTCGAAAGCCAGTCGAATCCGACTCTAGGGTTGCGGTGCTCATCTCCGTTTCAAAGCCAAAGAGCCAGCGCTGTCCGAAGACGTTTCCGTGGTCATGTGGCCGGCATAACCGCAGCTTCCAGCATTGGGGCGACGCAAAAACCTGACTTTGCTTGGCTCACTGAAAGACGTGTCTCCCTTTTCAGATTCAATTTGATAAGCTTTGCGGAAGATGTTGTGGCCTGGCAAGAGTGCCTGGTGGAGGCCACGGACGAAGCATGCCACGATGCCGTGCAGTGGGTCTCCACGTTTCGAGCACATGGGAATACGTCCATCCTCAAGGCCTTGCAGGTGGGTTATGTTGGACAAGAGTGTTGTATAGGAGCTGGCTGTTGAATGTTAATATCCAGCTGTCAGATCATAGTGATCTAACTGTCAGCAGGGAAGCTGCTGGAAACTGGTCCTGACCGGTTGAGTCCTGATTATGGTGTGAGGTCAGTGACAATGACTCAGCTCTTAGCTGATTGGTTGCTATAATGTATATATGTGGACAAGTGCTGCCCTGTGTACTTCTTCTCTTTATGACGGTGACTGGCGGAGCATGTTGTCCGAGGATTGTACATATTATAAGTAAAGCTGTATATAGTTCACCACTGGACTGTCTTGTGTGGTGCTATACAGAGCTGTTGAGTGCTGAAGAGTGGCTGGTGAGTTGGAGTGGCTGAAACAGTCCTGATGGCTGCCTGACCCTTTCTACTGGCACACAGGCTGTCCTACACGCACCACGCAACACTGGCGTGGGCATCCATATGAGAGCGGCCCATCTCGCTTCCAGTTCTGTTTTATAGATTTGCATATTCAGGGCTGGAGTGGCTACATGGAGCCTCCATGTTCAGAGGCAGTGTATCTTTGAATAACATTTGCTGTGGAAAAGCTGTGGCATCCACACCCTGTCTGCTGGCCTTCCAGTTGGCCACTGTGAGAAGCAGGATGCAGGATTGTATGGACCATTAAACTGATCCAGAGGGCTTTTCCTATGTGGTTAAGCTACAGGCCATGGGCAGAAGACCTAAGAAATCAATTGAGGAGGTCAGGTCTTGCAAATTCCTTTGGCTCTTGGCACCTTCTCTCTCTTTCTCTCTGCTTTTGTAAAGGTTTGCAGGGTAATGAGCAGAAACGTAGGCATGGAGGAGGTCCCAGTTTGAGTGGAAAAGGTGTTTTAACTCTTTCATCTCCGCATGGTTTTGCTAACTGAAACTCCCCTCCTGCATTATATTTGAAAGGGGGGCGGGGTAGACAAGCATTTCCCTTCATGTTTTCCTGTTGAGACAGTGCAGAAGATAACTTGGGAGGCTGTGTAGATTTTAAGCAGTGTTCCTTCTAAGCTGAGTTAGTGTGAACTGGCTCACAGTTTTTTAGCCCCCAACTCACAGATTTTTGTCTTAGCTCAGGAAGGAGGGCTCCAGAGCAAACTAATTTATGCAGTAGCCAAATCACTTGCTCAGAACAACACCAGTAGCTCACAAAGTAGAATATTTGCTCACAAGACTCCACAGCTTAGAGGGAGCATGGATTTTAAGGGATATTTAGTTTGTAGTAGAGCTGAATTGAATGTTAGATGGCAAACAGGTTTTCAGGGACCATTGCACACTGATCCTGTCAAGTGCAAAATGCATTTGGGCAGAGGTCATTTCAGGGGGGATCGCGGGGGATCGCAGTTCCCCCGGGTGAGGTACGAGGGGGGCGGGGCACATGACGAAGCCCTGCCCCCTGCTTCCGGCCGCCCCGCTTCCGCATGGAACGCTCTTACCTTCCCACCGAAGTGGTACCTATTTATCTACTTGCAATTTCTTGCTTTCGAACTGCTAGGTTGGCAGGAGCTGGAACTAGAGATGGGAGCTCACTCCGTGTTGGATCCCCAAGCATCGAGAATAAATCCACGTTTTCAAGAAAAGCAAAATTTATTTCAAAGCGTTGAAGACATACTCAAACACGTTCTTTGTTAGAACTGGGGATACACAGTTATACTTGTAGGCTATGTCTTCATTTTTAATAAAATAAACATTATTAATCCAATACAACAGAACATGTGTCTGGAGAGGCAGCATATACATTTTCTAAATAAGTAACATTCAATCTCCATCTACACCTGAGAGTTATCAAGATGAGGCAAGGGGGTCAAAGAAGACCTGGACCTTGTTGTATAGCCTACTTAATTTTAAAAGATCACAACACTCTGTGGTTCCATCCAACTCGTTCTCCTTCACTAGTACATTCAACTGTTTTCAATCAGATTCTGTCATTAACTCTAGTTGGATTGAGATTTTTATGTTTACAGTGCTTGAATAAGAAACTGAATGTTGTCTATCTTCATACTACGATGTCTTTTAAGAGCCACACTAGATATGTGGGAGGGGGTGTTTCATGCAATGGCAAAGTTGTAACATTTGAAGGTCTTCAGTCGTGTTCGGAACAATGCTATGTGACTAGCCCTATCCAAAAGGATGTGGGCCTTCAAATGATGAAGTATAAATAGAGATCCCATGATCTACTGTATTTTACCTTAGATAACGTACATTACACTGTTTGAATACTTGAAAGACACTGTATACATAGATTTTAATTCAATAATTAATGAACAGTTTGAAAGTGGTGCCAAAATGTTGGGACAGGTAGAGATTCTGAGATAATTTTAAGCTATAGATTTTCAGTAATTCTTATGCATGAGTCCTGCCATGAATTTCAGCTGGTCAAATCTGATAGGTGAAGAAGGAAAGAGATGAGGAACCCCAGTGTTTTCCTACCTACGTCCACCCCTTTCCCACCTACTTTCTCCTGTTTCTTCTGAGAGCTAGTATAGTGTAGTGGTTAAGAGCAGCAGACTCTAACCTGGAAAACTGGATTCGATTCCCCACTCCTCCACATGAAGCCTGCTGTGTGAGCCTGGGACAGTCACAGTTCTCTCAGAGCTCTCTCAGCTCCACCTACCTCATAAGGTGCCTGCTATGGGGAGAGGAAGGGAATCTAATTATAAGCCACTTTGAGGCTCCTCAAGGTAGAGAAAAAACAGGGTATAAAAACTTTTTTTTCTTTTTCCACATTCATCCATCACTGAAGCCAATGTCTTGGCAGGAACAATACATGTGTCCTAAACTGGCCCGTAGCTACAGTGGGGCCCCCTTCCTTAAAGCCCCCCCCCCCTGCTTCTTCCCAAAAGCATTTAAAAGGGTCTTTTAAACAAAAGGATCCCTGTAAATGCTTTTGAGAAGAAGCGGGGGGGGGCACGTGCCTCCTCCCTCCCTCCTGCAAGATTTAAAGGGCCCTCCAGTTGATCTGGGGGCCATGTGCTCCCTCCTGATCAGCTGAAGGGCTCTTTAAATTTTGCAGGAGGGGAGGGAGAGGGGTGCACACTACCCAAACTTCATTATGGCAAATAATGGCACCCCCACCTGAACATTTTTTGCCCCACAAGCCACAAGCTACGGGCCTGCACCTACCTCATAGGGTGGTTGTGAAGATAACATGGATTCATTGAGCCCTTGTACCACACTGCCCCGAGCTCCTTGGAGAAAGTGCAGGAGAAAAATTTACTAGATGGTGTTTCTCCTTTCTGTGCCCCAGAATGCCCAAAGTGACTTATGACAAAGGCTTTCCAGCCATAGAGCACGGTCATAGCCAGTGTATCGTCATCATCACAGAATGCCTTTGGGGGAACCATTCCAAAGCCCTTTCTTGCTCTGTTTGGCCTTCCACAGAGGAGCCAACGACTTCCTCAAGAGGCTGGCTTGGCAGACCGGGGGACGCTACCATCGGTGCCATGGGGATGCGGATGGACAGTTGGCAGCCCATCGGATCTTGACGGAAGGTTTCAAAGATGAAGATGTACGTTCAGTTGGCACATTCCTGCACACTGGATTTCTTTTTAAAACTATGCTTTATACTGGCATGCTTCTCCCCCAACCCCTTTAAATCACAACTGCATTCTATTTTTTTTTAATTGAGGATGATAATAATGTGCAGTTCCACCCCTAGGTTAAATATATAATGATTCCGTTCTATCCCCCATGTTTCCATTAGTTGATGTGTATAGAAAGAGGGGGCCGTGGTGGCTCAGAGGTTAAGATGCTGAGCTGCAGACTGGAAGGGCTGTCGTTTGGCAGTTCGAGACCCGAGTGCCGTGTGACAGAGTGAGCTCCCGTCTCTGGCCCCAGCTCCTGCCAACCTAGCAGTCCGAAAGCAAGAAATTGCAAGTAGATAAATAGGTACCACTTCGGTGGGAAGGTAACAGCGTTTCATGTGCCTTGGCATTTAGTCATGCCGGCTACGTGACCACGGAAATGTCTTCAGACAGCGCTGGCTCTTCAGCTTGGAAACGGAGATGAGCACCGCTCCCTAGAGTCGGATTCGACTAGCTTTCGAGCAAGGGAAACCTTTTATAGACATGTTTGCTAGGAACAAAGGAAATCCTTTTTAGGAAAAGCATCTTTACAAAGATCTATTGCAAGAGAATGTATGTATGCTTCAGGAAGTCCTGCAATGTTCTTTTCTGTTCTGTCACTGTTAAGTCTGATGAGATCTAGAGATCTGGGTTGACTCTGGATTGGTTTCTCTACGGGTATTCAAGGTGGTGGTGGTGGTGGTGGTGGTGGTGGTAGAGAGTGCCATCAAGTTGTAGCCAATTTACAGCGACCTAGCAGGGGTTTCAAGGCAAGAGACGCTCAGAGGTGGTTTTGCCCTTGCCTGCCACTGCATAGCAACCGCGGATTTCCTTGGTGGTCTCCCATCTAAGTCCTAACCAGGGCTGACCCTGCTTAGCTTCTGAAATCTGACAAGATCAGGCTAGCCTGAGCCATCCAGGCCAGGGCTCCTTCACGGGAAATGCATGTAAATCCAACCACTTGTTTTCTTTTAGGATCCAGTTTTCCCCCTGTTTGAAGGAGATGATTTAAAGAAGCTTACTGAGGAAGTAGCAAAAGCCAGGAGTTATTTAGCACAAGCCAGGCTTTTTCGGTGGGTATCTTATATCAGCTGGCTGTCAATAAATTGCCTGATAGCTAGCCAGTGGTGTTGGTTTCTGTGTTTTGTGCAGGATGACACATGTGGATGTGTTGCCGTCACTTACATTTTTGTGTTGTTGTTTTTCTTTGCTTGGAGAGTGATGTAGGGAGTCTGACAAGATCAGGCTAGCCTGAGCCTTCCAGGCCAGGGCTCCTTCAAGGGAAATGCATGTAAATCCAACCACTTGTTTTCTTTTAGGATCCAGTTTTCCCCCTGTTTGAAGGAGATGATTTAAAGAAGCTTACTGAGGAAGTAGCAAAAGCCAGGAGTTATTTAGCACAAGCCAGGCTTTTTCGGTGGGTATCTTATATCAGCTGGCTGTCAATAAATTGCCTGATAGCTAGCCAGTGGTGTTGGTTTCTGTGTTTTGTGCAGGATGACACATGTGGATGTGTTGCCGTCAAATTTTTGTGCTGTTGTTTTTCTTTGTTGGGGCGTGATGTTGGGGGGGAGGGATGGAAGGTGGGAGGGAGGGATGGGTTGGTCCCCAGGATCTGTTCCCCCCAGGGTAGCTCTTTCCTCTGCTGGAAGAAAACATCACTCCTAGCAGAATAGGTCTGTGGGATCCAACCCAATGTGAGATTTTGTTTCCCATCTTTCCTGAAGAATGACCAGAAAGGAGTGACAATGTTAACAAATGTATGGTGGGGGAATCATTTAGTTTGTATGGTAAGCTACGACGCTGGTCTGATTTACCCACATAAAGTGATGGAATGGAATAGGCAGAACCACCGCAGGTAAGGAGGGAAAATCTTTTTGTTCAACACTGCTGTGTTTTCAAAATCCCATGAAATCCCACTGCATAAATAATTATGAGCTACCCATGTTTATGCCAGAGAAGGACTGTAACAATATTCATATCATTTCTGTGGGTTTTTCTCACCCCCTATTAGATCGCTATTGGAAAAAAAGAATTTAGATCAAAAGGAGCAGTCCTCCTAATTCAGCAGCCTCCAGGTAGGATGAAAAGAAATCTCTGCTGAAAGTAAAGGATTTAGGTACCTTTCAAATCTGGTTGCCCAGTACATTTAGAGAAGATCAGTGTTTTGTTGTAAATAGGTAACTCCTCAGCGTTCAGCACTGTGCTGGTTGATTCTGATAGATCGAAACTGGGAAGGAGTGGCCGTCCTTTCTGAAGACCTCTTGCACTGGACGGGTGCTGGCCCCACCTTTGAGGAGGACCCAGACTTTCACCACTGCCCATTCTTTGCCTTCTCTCTCTGGGCACCATTCCCACTGTCACCCAAATGGGAAAAGTGAAGTCAGTAGGGCTTGAGCTTCTCACTGCTCTCATTCTTTCCAGAGTGGGAAGGCAGCAGCAGGGAAGGAATATCAGGGCCAAGGAGCTTGGGAGGGGGGGGGGAATATTGGCACCAGGCCCCCTGCCGGGATGCGGGCTTCCACAGATGCCCAACAATGCCCAACCCAGGTGACAGACAGATAGTTCTGGCAGCAGATTTAGGATAAATGACCCCCTTATCCAAGCACAATGAGCTCACTCTTCACCAAGCCCTTTATTCAAACACTATTGAGCTATATTTCTGTGTAAGTCCCAAACCAAGGACCAGTTTTTTTGAAATGGAGGCATTCCTATGCACTTTGCAGGTTTCTTCTTCTTGAATGTCCAGTTCTTTCTCACTTCTTTCCAACCTGCTTTTTGCCCACATTGTTATACTGAAGCTTCTCTGGCTCAATGACTCTCACCTGGCTTAAACTTCAAGGCCTCTTCTTGGTCCATGTCCTCCTTGACTTCCTCTTCCACCATCAGTCGCACAGTCCTCTTTGGAGCTCTCTTCTCTTTGATGTCCTTGAACACGTAACATTTGAGGTGTTGCAAAAGGAACGTTACCCTTTGAGATTCTGCGATCTCCTCTGATTCCTTTGTTTGGCAGAACAGGGGTTCTGGATCCCACCAGCACAGAACTAAAAATGTCATTACTTCAACGTAATTTGTTTCCCAACGGGATTCACAATTTTGGAGAAAAAAATATCTGTGATGATAGTCATAATTATGCCCAGCATGAGCCTTATTCCATATCTGGAGACACAATGCCAGACCAACCAAATAGGGGAAGAATGTTAAGAGGTTAAAACCCCTATAACAACAACTGGGGCACGATCACACGCACAATTAGCCCCACCATAGGTGTGAATGACAAACATCTGGGAAGCGCCCTGCACCCGTCGGCAACCTATTTTGCTCCGCCACAGAAGCGGAGTAAAAAGACCCCGGGGAAAATCCGGTAGTATGTATGTATGTATGTATGTATGTATGTATGTATGTATGTATTTATTTGGATTTGTATCCCGCCCTCCCCGAAGGCTCAGGGCGGCTAGCAGAGGCATAAATGCCAGATTATAACAATAAAAACAGTATAAAATACAATAATACACATACTACAGTTAAATAAAATTCTTAAAATAAATTATCGGTGCTCCAATACTCCGAATCGTGAAACCAAGATGGTGTTCTAAGATGTTATATCTGAACAACCACAGCAGTGTATGTCCCCACAACCCTGTCATCCGCTAGGGACGTCCCGCTCCCTCCGATGATACCCGCACCAGCGGTGGTGGTGTGCGGTGGTGGGAAGGCGTTGATGGAATAGTAGTGGCGGCGACTCCTACTCGAAAGCCTGGCGGAAGAGCTCCGTTTGTAGTAAACGGGTTGCGAAGGGCCACGGACAGTTTCCCATGTCTGATCGCTCCAGCACGCTCTCATTGCGTCGGGATGGTCTGATCAGGCCATCCTGACCGTGCCATTGTTTTAAACCCCCCCTTCTCAGTATGCGCATCATCACACTCCATAGGGAGCCCTCAGTGCGGAGGTGTGATTCATTGATCCCTCGTTTAAGCGCATTGGAAACAAATAGGGAAAAAACCCTGACTCACCCACGGTTGTGTCTGATCATGCAGTGGCGGGCTGTGCCCGCAGCTTCCAAGGACTGTGTGATCATGCAGCTGCTGGTCCAATTCCTCTGGAGGAAATAGCCTCACTTCCCCCCCAACTTTATCTCGCGTGTGTGACCGCCCCCCCTAGATTCGAGTCCAGTAGCAGCTTGTTGGTCTCTAAGGGGCTACTGGATTCAAACCTAGCTGTTCTGCCCTCTGAAACTATAACAATAATGTAGCTCTGCAGAGGACTTCTGTTTGCTGGAGCTATAAAAGGGTTGGAGCCATCCAAGTGGGAAACCCCCTGCATAGGATAGTGGTCAGGGTGTTGAACTAGGGTCCAGGAGCCCCAAGTGTGATTCCCCACTCTGCCATTGAGGCTCCTTTGGTGAACTTGGGCCAGTCATAGCCTAACCTACCTCACAGGGTTGTTTTTGTGATAATAAAGTAGTGGAGGGGAGAACTTTGGGTCCCCATTGGGAAGAAAATCTGGGTATAAATATTTTAAATCCATAATAAATGAGCTCTTGTGCTTATCATTACATATAAGAACATAAGAGAAGCCAGCAATGTTGGATCAGGCCAGTGGCCCATCCAGTCCAACATTCTGTGTCACACAGTGGCCAAAATTCAGATGCCATCAGGAGGTTCACCAGTGGGGCCAGAACTCCTGAAGCCTTCCCACTGTTGCCCCCAAGCACCAAGAATACAGAGTATCGCTGCCCCAGACAGAGTGTTCTATCAATATTTGTTGTTGTTCAGTTGCACAGTCGAGTCTGACTCTTCGCGACCCTATAGACCACATCATGCCAGGCCCTCCTGTCTTCCGTCTATACCTTGTGGCTAATAGCCACTCATGGACCTCTGCTCCATATGTTTATCCAATCCCCTCTTGAAGCTGTCTATGCTTGTAGCTGCCACCACTTCTCGGGGCAGTGAATTCTACATGTTAATTACTCATGATAATAATTGAATTCCATGTATTAATCATTGGTACCTTATAGCAAATATAATTATTGGTGGCTGGTATTATTGATTGACTTGTCTCTTGAAAATATGGACAGATAGAACTGGACAGCAGACTGTAATTCATCAGGAGCAGGGCCTTTTTTGTGGTTGCCCCAGTAAGGAACCACAGTTCAAATTATCTTTCTCTCTGTGGACACAGTTATTCCCCTCCCCCAAGGAATGCATATTGTCTCACACTCACATAATATTGAGACCCTGGTACAATTTTCAGATTATTCTGCAAACGTAATGGTTGTTGGATGTCCTGTTGACTTCTGGCTGACACACCAGCTGAATCACTGAACGTTCCACATTCTGAACATTTGCACATGCATGTTCGTTCGATCTGAAGCTGAGGTGGGGGAGGTAGTGAAATTCTTACAGTGTGCGGATCTTGTGACCTGGCACTGGATGGAAGCAACCCCAAGCCAACCCACTGTACATCAGAGCTGTGAAACTTCAAAGGAACTGCATAATCTCTCCTCCTGCTACTTGGGATACTTTCTGCCAATTGACTGATCTGAGTGGAAAGTCTCCACCCCATTTCTGACTTTAATTCCTCTCACCAAAGAGATAATGTGGGGATTTTCTTCCAACTGTCCTCAAAAGAATTTTCTCGCTACTTTGGGAATGATCTAAGTATGTTTGGAGTTATCTGTTCCTTGAGCTTTACGCAACATGAACCAAATAGTTTTTACTATATTGGTTATGTGTTATGTTATTAAAAGTGGCACACGTAATTATCTTGTGAAGTTACGTTTTTATTCAGTATTGATCTGTGTGGGTGCAAAGGAGAAGAATAACTTCTTTGGCCTGATAGAGTCGTGCAAGACTGGCTGAATGAAACACCTGGAGATCTTCTGGAAATACAGCTGACCTAATGATGACCTTCTCTACTGGAAATGGCTGCTTTGGAGGGTAAACTGCATGGCATCATACCCTGCTGAGCTTCCTCCCTGTGGACAGAGTAATTAACACAGCAGTGGTGCACAACCCGATTAAAGAGCAGATAAAGGCTTATTTAGGAATTGACATACTTGATAGGAAAGAGGAGAGACAGAGAGAGGTTCCTAAGGACATCTCTGGCTGAGAGATTTGATTTGATTTATTAGATCTTTATCCCGCCCTCCCGGTCAAGGCCGGCTCAGGGCGGCTTACAAAACAGAATAAAATTCCAACAATATGCATAAAATCACACAGAGACAGTAAGACTGAGTGTGGCACTGAGGGGGAAATTGCCCTAAGAGTAGCAATCTGGAGACAGAAGAAGAAGAGATTAGATTTATACCCCGCCCTTCACTACCCAAAGGAGTCTCAGAGAGGCTTACAAACTCCCTTCCCTTCCCCTCCCCACAACAGACACCCTGTGAGGCAGGTGGGGCTGAAGGAGCTCTGACAGAAACGGCTCTTTTTCAAGAACAGTTCATTATCAGAACTACAGCTTGCCCAAGGTCATCCAGCATGTGCAAGTGGAGGAGTGGGGAATCAAACCCGGTTCTCCCAGATTAGAGTCCGCGCACTTAACCACTACACCAAACTGACTCTCTGGGTAAGGGAAAGAAAGGCATTTTAAACATGCCTGGGTTCCCTGGTCGATCTTGAGAAGATCAGGCAGGGAACCAAGGCACGCTTGCATGCCTGCCCTTTGTCAGGGGATGTGGCCTATGCAAGTGAGCTCCTGCACCTCTTTTTTTTGTGAAATGACCCCTGCTTAAAAGGAGAGAAGGTGCTGACCTCACTGTCTTATCTAATCGTCCTCTTGCTGCCCCCTGCAGAGTCTTCTTCTGTTCTTGTTTTTTACACCAGACATGGCCTTTAACGACACTCCCCTCCCAAAACCCTGCCCTGCCCAGGCTCCACTCCCCAAATCTCCAGGAAATTCCCAGCCTAGAATTGGCAACCCGGCAGTGCTTTGACTTCTTCGGGGTCTATTGAGTTGGTTGCTTCCAAAGTGTTAGTCAGGATGACCTATATTCCAGGTGTCCAGAAGCCATACCGTGCCTTGGAATTCTGAGAAAGGGGAGTTGGCACCACAAAAAGTG